GAATGTGCACACTCCCCCCAAAATATTGGCAAAACAAATATCATGTGCAAGTTTTCATGTGATCATTCTAGAGATGGCAAAATGCCCCCGCCCCGCCCCAAGTGGAGCCAAAAAAACCCACCCCAACGGGTTGGCGGGGCCGGGATGCCCCACTCCGAACCTGCCCCATGGAAAAAAAAAAAAAAAATGTGAAGTTAGTTTGAGCATTATTTGCATTGGATTTTAAAATTTTGAATATGTATTTTATTCTCTAATAATGGCATAACTCGAAATTTTGACCAAAAAAAAAAAGTAACAAATGGGGCAAGCCACCACCCCGCCCCACTGCCATCTCTAGATTCTTCAAATTTCACAAGTTTGTCTTGAAACTATCTAAAGATATTCAGAAAAATCCTCCAACACCCAGCCAACCAGTTCACATAGGTTCTCGTAGAAATTCTCTCGCCCAAGAGAATTGAACAATTCAAAATCCTGAAAGACATACCTTTGGATTGAAGAGTCAATTAGTTCAATCATCTCACAGGTTTTATATTGTTCAGGATCCTCTAGGAATCTAACCATTCCATCCTTCTGGTTGATTGTTGCATATATTTCACCATCTTGGATCTGCAATAGGATAGAAACAATTATATCATAGACGACCACAGCTCAGTTCATTTCCACTATAAACACTGGTACACTGCACCTACCATTTGAAGTACATGCATCTCAGCCTCCTTGGCACTATTAAGTTGGACAGTATTGGCTATATCTTCAAGGGAGAGAGTCAGGTAAGTCTGAGTCAACCTCTGAATATTGCGTTTATACATAGATGATACTACTTGCTTCACCAATCCAAGATTCTTGTCCTGAAACAGGGGATAATATTTAGTCCGTTCAGATGACAAAGGATTTCACGTGGGACTTGGTGGAAGTTCAAGTGAAATCAAAAACTTCATTGCAGCACTCCTATATCTGTTGACCTAAGATATGTACGAAGATAATGCAAGTGATAAAAAAACTCACAGATTCAAACTTCTCATTGTTTGCCTGCACAAATGCTTCAAGTTCTGATATTTTTCCAGTACAATAACTATTCACCAATTCAAGATACGGCTGCTCAAGAGACAAGAAATAGATTTATTATCAACTCAAGAGAAGGCGAGGGAAAATGAATATAATGCACATCCAAAAGTACTTCAGACCAAAAATAACATCATATTTATGAACACTAGTATGAGAAATCTTTGATTCTAAATTGCTCCTGATGAGTTTCTGTTCATGGATGTTTACTCCCTAGCTAATCAAGTATCTTGGCTTTGTGTCACGCCAGTTGCTAAGTGCTTCTTATTTCTCATCAATACTCATATAGAGATTTGAATGCGTGTTTAACTAGGGTCTCTGAGCTCCCTTTTGTACCAGAGATTCATAATTAGTGTCACTATAATAATGTTCTCTGCTGTTCTCCTTTGTTCATGGTATCTGATTTCTCAAAGGTGATGTTCTCTTCCATTTAACTACATAACGTACTAAATTAATTGATAAGAAAATGATTTCATGTCGTGTGTACCTATGTATGCATGCTCCAGATTTTACTATGAAAGTCAGAAAAACCTATCCATATTTGACATTTCCAACTCTACTCATCTTTATCACATTTCAATTTAAACCAGAATTCTATGTCCTTAAATATTTGTTTTATGGCTCTTGCATACATCTACCCATTAAAAAAATAATAATGATAATAGTTTCCATCTTTCTTCCTTGTCCAAAACTTAGATTTTATAATTCCAATCAAGATAGGCCAAAATTGTGCTTAATTGATGCTTATGCATGACAGTAGAAGTCAAGGTTATGATCTTGCTTTCAAACAACGGATCTGATAATTTATTTCATGTATCTAACTAAACTTGAAAAGAAATTAACATCTCATCAGTATACAACACATATATTGTCGTGTAATTTTAAGCATGTGTTAGCAGCCATAATATATGTGCCACCCAAGCATTAGTTATCTTGATTAATCATAAGCAAGTTAACATCTTGCAGCATAAATGTCACAGCAATTTCTGCAAACGCAGATATAACTTAACCACCAAGTTATTAAGATTAACTGACGCTGTTGTTAGTTCAAAGTTTCTAACAAAAGCCATATCAACTTTTTTAGCAAAGACACACATCAAAACAAGTTCCTGCACATGTAAAAGCTACTTCAGAGGCTGTGGAAGATTACCATATTACCTGAGAGAAGTTTTTCAGATTTCTTTGAGCCACAGAAGAAGTGTACTTTGGGAAACTGCTAGAGAACTGCCATGAAAAGTAAAATAGGTTCTCATTAATTTTTAAGTAAATGGCTATGACAGGAATAAATTTGTGTAGTAAGGCATTTATCAGAGAAGGCAATAAGCTAAATTCAAAGGTAGAAGTTTCTGAAACAGTTAAAGGAGGATTGTTAGAACA